GTGCGTTGCCACCCCAAAAGCACGAGGGCGAGTCGCGAAAGAGCATAAAAGCGCTGTCGTTTACGGTGAGTTTGGCGCCTCGGGGAGCTGCTTTGTGGCGGAAGCGCGATTTCGGGGTGCCACATGCAGACGCAGGTTCTGGACGGGGTGCAGGCGCACAAACCTGCTTGGAGAGATATGAGAATGCCCTTCCGGGATGCGGTGCCAAGGCCCATCTACGGGGGCAGCTATGGGACCGTTTACAGTACAGCCTGCTTCGATGCAGTATGCCAGTATGCAATTGCAATGCTAGACATGCCAAACGAAGCGCATCTGATGCTGCATCCAGGAAGCTGCACGCATGTCTGGCTGCCTCGAGCCAACTCTTCATGGGAGCACGGCGTCGGACATGAATTTGCACTGCCACCTGGGCGTTTCCGGGCGACTCGCAGGTGAACGTCTTTGAGGGCAGGACGGAGCTTTTGCACTTCACTGGTGCTGAGTTCTTGTTTACACAACACACTTCAATGATGCCGCCGTTACCTAATCTAGTCACAGCTGCAACGCGATTCTGTTGAACTGGCTCCGCTCAGATTCAGGCGGGAGTTCAAGGACGGCACCAGCAAGTCAGCCAAGCAACTGATGACCTTTGCCACGCACAGTCTGCCGTTCGCATCCTTGGAAACAGTGACCACAAGACGTCTGCTGAAAGAGTGTCAAATGCAGGTTGAAAGCCTTCAAGCCAGCACTGAGCCCGGGTCCAGTGGGTCTGGGCAGCGCAGCCTAAGTTGCCATGGCCGGGACAAGGAGGCATTCCGAAAGCGGGTCGCCCTCTGGGCCATCTGCGAATTCTGGCCGCACGGACAAGGCGCTTCCCTGTCCATGCAAAGCTTCCAGGTCATCTCTGGTATGCCTGTGTGGAGGCAGACAGTGCGGCAGACAGGATGCAGATCAGGTCCTGGCCTGCCGTGCTGTAGTCCGTGATCTCGCAGGCTTTCTGCCTAAGAGAAAGCTGGAGGAAACAATGCGCCACCTCCGCATGCAACCCTTCTTGCCATAGAGCTGCCAATGCTCGCAGGGGCACACGGCAGCCTCCTGCAACCTGATGGACACTGTCCCCAATAAGAATGTCACAACATGTCGCCACCGAAACTGGAGTGGCTCTGGATGGAGGCATGCACACCGCCTGAATGCCTCCTACGGGCCGCCACATCTGACGCCACATCCACATAGAGGAAGCTACTAGTAGACACGGATGAACGTGAGCACACCCTCAAAAGGAATCAATCAAGATGCAGCTAAGCCCTGTTGGATGCCCACAGCTTTTGAGGCAGCTTGGTGACGGAGGGAGGCAAAGGTCTGCTCCGGGGCAGCGCTGTGTGTTTGCACCACAGGGACACGGTGCGGTCGATGCCCAGCAGATCTCTCGAGAGCCTGCTACAACTCTCGCCGCACACTACCGACTGGCGCTCGGGCACCTGCCTGTGATGTTCCCGTCAGGAGTGTAGTCCGCGACGACACACGTCTTCTCATCAATTGCGCAGCATGCCGCACCCTGTGATGTCTTGGCGCATTGTGATGATGCTTCAAGTGAAAGGACCGGCAGTTTATGATATATCGATCGCGGCAAGAGCACTGCAAGACCCACGCAGAGCATAGCTTCCAGCTGGTGGGGGCTGTGCATGTGGGAAAGTTATCAAAATTACCCCAGCCCAATTCCCCGCCCTCCCTCTGCCTTGAAGATGCAGCGATTGAGGGCTGCGCACATTGTCGCCTCGTGCCCACACGGGCAGTCGAGCAAGCTTCCGGCACACTGCCTGCTAGGAGGCACCATGCCTAAGATGCCCAAACGCAGCACACAGCTGCTCGTAGGATGACATGCTGCCAGCAAGAACGTGCCAAGGTAGCCAAGGCTCGATCTTCGGTGCCGTCCGGGAAGAAGTTTTGCACCAGCGGGCACTCGCTTTCGTTAGGTGCGCAGGCGGGACAGTAGCCTGCGCACACCAGCAGCGCACGGGCTTTGTTGCGCAAACTGGTGGAACGATTTACAACGACGGCCGCCGACCTCCCTGCACTGGTAGGCATTCTGGTTCGCCCTGTTCGCCCTGGCCCTGACATGAAAGTAGGAGCTCATTTTCTTGATGCGGCACGCCGAAGCTCATGGTGCAGTCGGGGCACCGTGCTGCACAGGAAGGAGCCCTCTCCGCAGCCGCACCCGGTCCCGATTGGCACCTAACGACTCAGCAGCAGCAAAGACATTCCAAGCGTGGCACGCAAGCATCAACCTGCGAGGACTCTTTCTGCCAGGGCTCACAAGTCTCCTCTGTGGGTAGGTGATTGCCCTGAGCATCAAAACCTCACCAAGCACGGGCAGGGTAAGGCAACCCGTGGGTCTTGTACTCGCCCCCGCCACTGTAGGTATCTTCCTCCGTCAGCTTGACTCACGGGGCATGGGCAAGGCATCCTAGAAGAAAACACGAGCGAACCCCGGCGCTTACTCGATCCCCGGAGCACTGACATCCTCTTCGTCCCAGTTGCTCGGTCGGTAGCAGCGCTCTTCACCGTCTGGACAGGCCAGGGGACAACGGCTGAGCCCGATACTTCACATAAGTCGCAGATAGAAGTCCCACGACAAGCAGAACACTCTCGCCGTTTGCAATCACAGCCCTTGTTGCAGCAAAGCCTCGCGGAAGGCAGTCGGATTCCTGTGCAGAACTCACAACTACTTATGGCTCCTTACTCTGATGCTCTCCTGCCCTAGGCCTCGATGGTGGTTGTGCTCGTACTGCTAGTACCGCTGCTGCTGCTGCTGCTGCTGCTGCTGCTGGTAGTCACGGTGCCAGTGCTAGTGCCGCTGCTCGTAGTGGTACTGCGGGTAGTGGCGGTACCCGTGCTGCTGGTGGTCACGACAGTAGCAGTGATGGTACTGCTGCTGCTGCTGCTGCTGCTGCTGCTGCTGCTGGCAGTGGTAGAGCTGGTGGTGCTCGTGGCAGTGGTAGAGCTGCCAGTGGTCGTGGCAGTGGCAGTGCTGCTGGTGCTCGTGCTGCTTGTGCTCGTGGCAGTGGTAGAGCTGCTCGTGGCAGTAGCAGTGGCAGTGTTGCTACTGGTCGTGGCAGTGGAAGTGCTGCTGGTGGTGCTGCTGCTGGTTGTGGCAGTGGCCCGGCTGGTGGCCTGGCTTGAAGATTTGCCAGACATCAACAGCAGCAGTGGCTTGAATTTCTTTGAGGACGGAACACCTGCACCTCAGCTCTGGTGTTTATAAGCTGCCACATCTTGAATCCGTTCCATACGCACCCAACAGACTGTGGCTGGGCTTTGCCAGTACTTCACAAAAAAAGCATACTCAGCATTTCTTGTAAGTCTACACCTTGTCGGTTACTGGGTCGGGAAGTGTTTAGCACTGAATCTTGCACTGCATGAGCCATGACGAGCCAAAAGCTCGACGATGGCCCTCATTGGCCTCACGCCCGTAGAACCACAAGTCGTTGAGAGCGCTGCCTCAGTGATCCCCCCCGTACACTGCCGCACGCCGCAACGCAGCATCATGCAGCATCGCAGGTTGCTGTCGTGCTGCCCCTGCCGTGCTCTCAGGGCCCGGGCCATCAGACCCACCGAACACGTAGAATCCGTCCGCCTCCGGACTCCACACCGCGGTGTGGTAATACCGCGCGTCTGGCGCCGTGCCGCTCGGGCTGAGCTGTTCCCAGCTGTTTGCCTGCGAGACATGTCCGATGCTGAGCATGTCTTCGTGGAAAGTTGCGTGTAGGTCGAATCGAAACATGGAAGGTGGCCCAAGGAGAACGCCCTGCAGTGCTGGGATTTGCCAGTGCTTCACGAAAAAGCGCATCCTCGGCATTTAACTTTCTTAGTCTACACCTTGAAGTCCCTTACTGGGTCGGGATCTGTTTAGCACTCAACCCTTGTGGAGCCATGACGGGCCAAAAGCTCGCGATGGCCCTCATTGGCCTCACGCCCGTAGAACCACAAGTCGTTGAGAGTGCTGCCTCAGTGATCTCCCTTCGCACACCGCAATGCAGCATCGCAGCCTGCTGTCGTGCTGCCCGTGACGTGCTCTCAGGGCCCGGGCCATCCTGCCCACCGAACACGTAGAAGCCGTTCGCAGCGGGGCTCCACACCGCGGTGTGGCCAAACCGTGCAGATGGCGCCGTGCCGCTCGGGCTCAGCTCCGCCCAGATGTTCGCCTGCGAGACATGTCTGATGCTGAGCATCCCTTCGTGGAAAGTTGCGTGTAGACCGAATCGAAACATGGAAGGTGGCTCAAGGAGAACGCCCTGCGGTGCTGGGATTTGCCAGTGCTTCACAAAAAAAGCGCATCCTCGGCATTTTAATTTCTTAGTCTACACCTTGAAGTCCCTTACTGGGTCGGGATCCTTGCATGGCATGAGCCATGACGAGCCAAAAGCTCGCGATGGCCCTCAGTGGCCTCACGCCCGTAGTACCACAAGTCGTTGACATTGCCGCAAAGGCAGCCTCAGTGATCTCTCCCGCACACCGCAATGCAGCATCGCAGGTTGCTGTCGTGCTGCCCCTGACGTGCTCTCAGGGCCCGGGCCATGATACCCACCGAACACGTAGAAGCCGTCCGCAGCCGGGCTCCACACCGCGGTGTGGACACGCCGCGCGTCTGGCGCCGTGCCGCTCGGGCTGAGCTGTTCCCAGCTGTTTGCCTGCGAGCTATGGGGGTTGATCGATGTTATTGTTCCGATGAGTGACCATTTAATACCCCTTTCCTTGCGCTCGCCCTTGCGCACTCTTGCGCGTTTCTTGCGCACACACGAGTTTTTGCATACGTGCATGTTGTATGATCATGAGCTATGGTATGTTGAGTACCAAAGCATGATCCATCCGGCAGAAGGGCTACGAAGTCCATACTGTTTGGTATGATTTCTTGCCATGTCGGTTTTTCAACGCCCCTATGCTGAGTTCAGAATGTTTGGGCTGGTCTGTTTGGTACTGACAGCGAAACCCATATGCATGCAGCGGGGGCAGGGCGGGGCAGGGCAGGGCAGGGCAGGGCGCAGGGCAGCCCGGTACGGCGGCAAGGCAGGGCAGGGCAGAGGGGGCCCAAGCCCTCCCTGTCCCCCGCAAGTTGCAAAATTTCAATTTTGAGCTTTTCAAGGGTTGAAAAGCTCAAAATGGAACTTTTGCAACTTCTGGGCAAGGCGGGGCAGGAAATGGAACTTTTGCAATTTCTGGGGAGGGCAGGGCAAGGCAGAGGGGGCCCAGCCCTCCCTTCCCGATTGTCCCCCGCAAGATGCAAAATTTCAATTTTGTTTCAAGGGTTGAAAAGCTCCAAAATGGCACTTTTGCAAATTCTGGCCGGCTTTCCGTCTCACTCACCCCACCGCACGGCAACTAAACAGCTTTAACATGCCTGGCACTCTCCCACCAAGCCTCGGCGCAGAGGTTTGAGCCAAATTTGAGCCGAAAGTGTAGGGTTGGGCCCAACCCTCATTGGGTTGAGTTCTGTTCCGGAGTGATGCTTGCATGGAGCTAGGGAGGCACGTGCAGGCACAGCCGCTTCCCTCCCTGTCCCAATTTGCTCAAATGGCTTTTTTCGGAGCGCAAGCCACGGTCGGGAATGGGAGGGGCTGATGTTTTAGGGTTCTTTCTGCTTTCCTGACACGACAGGCCGGCCCAGCAACCGAAAGCGAGCATCATGAGCATCTATGGCACCCACAAAAGCAAGGCGGGCAGAGGGCCCCACCACAGACCGAACACGGCGCGTTCCTTCTTCCTTCCTCGTGCTTTCTTTTCAAGGGCGCAAGGGGCAGGGCAGGGCAGGGGGCAGGGCACAGCCCGAGGGCAGAGCAGAGGGCAAATCACAGGGTAGGGCATTAACGTGGGCCCAGCCCTTCCTTCTCGGTCTGTCCCCCGCAAGTTGCAAAATTTCCCACCCCACACTTCATTCAAACCCAATCAATTCCATTATGTTACATGTTCTGATATATAGACATATTACTGCCCTTGCGGGCTCTTGCGCTCGCCCTTGCGCATTCCTGCGCGCACACCATGTTTCGAAGGAAATTTCAATAGTGACGATATGAATAAATCGCCTCTGTAAACACGGGGGTTTAGATCAACCCTCATATGTCTGATGCTGAGCATGTCTTCGTGGAAAGTTGCGTGTAGGTCGAATCGAAACATGGAAGGTGGCCCAGGGAGCAAGGCCCTACTGTGCTGGGATTTGCCAGTGCTTCACAAAAAAACGCATCCTCGGCATTTTAATTTCTTAGTCTACACCTTGAAGTCCCTTACTGGGTCGGGATCTGTTTAGCACTCAACCCTTGTGGAGCCATGACGGGCCAAAAGCTCGCGATGGCCCTCATTGGCCTCACGCCCGTAGAACCACAACTCGTTGAGAGTGCTGCCTCAGTGGTCTCCCTTCGCACACCGCAATGCAGCATCGCCGCTTGCTGTCGTGCTGCCCTTGACGTGCTCTCAGGGCCCGGGCCACCCTGCCCACCGAACACGTAGAAGCCATTCGCAGCGGGGCTCCACACCGCGGTGTGGCCAAACCGTGCAGATGGCGCCGTGCCGCTCGGGCTCAGCTCCGCCCAGATGTTCGCCTGCGAAACATGTCCGATGCTGAGTGTCCCTTCGTGGAAAGTTGCGTGTAGATCGAATCGAAACATGGAAGGTGGCCCAAAAAGAACGCCCTGCGGTGCTGGAATTTGACAATACTGGGAAGAACCGGGGCTTTGTAAGTTACACAGTTTACGAGTATGTTTCCAAGTAACATGTAACTCGGTTGTTTGCAGAATGCAGACCACTTATATAAGTGTGACAAAGAAATAAAATTGTTAAGAGAGCTAGCTAAGTACTTAGATAAATGCGGTAAGTATGTTAAAAATTAATTAGCGGACCGGAGAACCCCACATGTGTATTGTAGCGTTGACGGCAAGTGCAGAAACAGTGAGTGAGTGAGTGAGTGAGTGAGTGAGTGAGTGAGTGAGTGAGTGAGTGAGTGAGTGAGTGAGCGGGTGCGTGTGTGTGTGTGTGTGTGTGTGTGCGTGCGTGCGGTGTGTGTGTGTGTGTGTCTGTGTCTGTGTGTGTGTGTGTGTCTGTGTCTGTGTGTGTGTGTGTGTGTGTGTCTGTGTGTGGGTGTGTGTGGGTGTGTGTGTGTGTATGTTTGCGTGTGTGTGCCGGCGTGTGTGCGTGCGTGCGTGCGTGC